GGGGACCCTGTTAATAACATGACTTGTTTACTGGGGTAGCAGTTACTCAGCTCCTGCTGACTGTGGCCATGAAAGAGGGTCAAATGGTGCCAGATATTTTATTTTCTAAAGCGAAGCCAGAAATCTGATATTTAAATCTAGCAGCTGATTAAAAATTCAAAACCAAACAAACTCTTGGGCCAATATATATTTTTTTAATAGGGTAACTACTCATCCAATTTTGTCTGGGACTGAGGAGTTTCCTGGCACCGGGGTCTTCTGATGCTAAAATAAGGGGAGCCCTCGGTCGACTGGGACAGTGAGTCCTTCTAGAATGTGGAAGGTAAAGAAAACATCTGTAAAAGTTGAAGGAAGTCTGTAGGTGGTCAGTGTTTAACCTTTGATGAATAGGACAGCAAACCGGAATAGGGTTCACACTGTCCCATTTTCAGAGGAGGAGAGGATATTGATTAACAGAGGACTGTATACACGGACCAGAGCATGTTCAATTCTTCACTTCTGCTCTCTCCACCGTCCATTTCTGATGGCTGCAGCCAGGTTAGAAGCTACTATCAGATTGGTTGCAGTGCCGTAGGGTTCACTCTTCCAGCTGCCCATCCTCAAATTTGTTCATCCAAGGAACACACTGGGGAGAGAGCCCTTCCTTGGACAATGGGAGACCCAGAGGGCAAAAGGAAGATGCCGAGTGCTCTGAAAGGATGCAGACAATTGAAGGAAATGTTGAAAGGTTATCTGGAAATGTCTTGGACCAGACTATTTTTATTCTACTTAAGTTTTGTAGCTATAACTATAAGGGTTAGTTTTTCCACAAGCTTTTTCTTTAAAAAGAAAGATTTTAGGTTTATAGAATATTGCCAGGGGAAGGGAATTTAAACACCATGAGTTTGCATCTTTCAATATAAAATTGGGCAAATTGAGGTCCACTGTTCCATAGCTAGCTAATGACAGAATGGTTCAACTTGGTCCTGTTTGGAGTCCGGTGGGGGGCCAGTAGGGTGATAAGGGAAGGCAACTCAGCTCCTCTAAGATGCATTTCTGTTGGGGTCCAACCCCAGCAGGTCCAGGGGTTCCCAAAGATGTAACAAGACAACAAAACACAGAACCTGGCTGGAGATCCTGGATAGAACCAGGCGAGAGAACCCAACCATGCTGATCAACTGAACGCTGTCTCCATGTCCTTCCTTCTTCGCTGACTCCGTCCACACCTTTGGGAACCCCTGGACCTGCTGGAGTTGGACCCCAACACATTTCTATCAATTACATTTTTATGGCACCAAGAAAAATAATCATTAAAATCTAAAAATAAGTTATTTCACTCTCTGCCCTTTGTTTATGAAATTAAATGATGATGAGTCACTGAATGCTCATATTATTGAAACAATGCAAATACATAAAACGAAGGACATTGAAGCTGAAAAAGGAGCATCCTATATCAAAAAGGCTAATTGGTTGTATCTGGGCCATTTCCTGTGGGCAGAACCCGTTTCAAACGAAAAACCCATGATTTGAAAAACATAGGCAAGGAAGTTTTTTTAAAAAGTCTTTACACCCATCATTATATATTGGCATAGATTTCACTTCATTCTTTAGTTCTAAATGCATCACAACAGAATTCTCTTTGAAGTCAGAGAATGAACTTTGTGGTGAGGGTGTACCACCAGGTTCGTATGGAACAACTAAAAACAAGGCTGATTTTTATCTTATTATTGTGGCATTCTGCACAAGCCAAAGGACCTACTGGTCATATTTACAGTCACACAGAGGTACCATTAAGGTTCAAAACAAACAGATTCCTTGTTTGAATAATTAGACTTCTCCTTACTTCCTTTTGACCCAAAAATGAAATATATGATTCATCTCCTCACCTGTTTATGTAAATTCCTAGGGATCGTAACAGAGTAGAATAGAAACAATGACTTAATAGCATGACTGTCACACCAGCAGACCACAGGCCAACCTAGGTTCCTTGCAGACCCTAAGAAGCTCCAAGAGGCTGGAGATCAGTGTTCATGCTGACTTTATTGTGGGTGACTGCATGTAGTTCTAGGCCACTTACGGGGGTAAACATAAGCTCGGTGAATAGTTCAGGGTCAGATTCATCTGATATGAGAGGCCAACAATTAACAGAGTTTATGATTAACATCCAGACTCACAGCTTCTCCAGCACTTACCAGCAAGAAGGGAGAGTTATGTTTATTCTTGATAACCATTTGAGGGTTGATCTAGGAATAGGAGTCAATAAAACACATCATAAAACAGTGTTTTGCTGTTCAGGCCAGACTCCCTCTAGGACAAATCTCTCACGGGGTAGTTTTGGCATTCTATTTCAGAGGCAAAAGAGAGTGTTTCCGAAGAGTGTTGTTGCTGCTGTACGTGTGTATGTGCGTGCGTGTGTGTGTGTTTAAGCTTAAATCAACAAACATTTATTATCTCACATAATTTCTGAGGGTCAGGAGTCTGGGAGTGGCTTGGCTGGATGATTCTGGATTAGAGTTTCTCAGGAGGTGGAAGTGTCAGCCATGGCTGCAGTCATCTCACAGCTTCACTGGGGCTCAAGGGCCCACCTTTCAAGATGGTGTGTCATTGGCTGAAGGTGGCTCATTCACATGGCTGTTGCCTGGAGGCCTCAGTTCCTTACATTTTGCCTTTAACCTGACTGTGGGCCTGCTTGAGTGTCTTCACAAGTCATCTAGTTTCCTTCAAAGTGAGCAATCCAAGAGAGAAGGTGTGACTGTGATTAACATGGCTTTCAGAATTGGATATTTGAGATTTCCAGAGCCATGTGCCACTAAATTGCTCCATTTCTTCATGCTCCTAAGCAGCATTATAGTTGGGGATAGTATGGACTTCCCAAGGGTGACTCACTTGCTTTAATATGGGAAGCAAATGAGTCCACATTGGAAGATGTAGAAGGTGAGAGTTGAAGACGGGAGGTGCCTTTTAAGTAAACTACTGTTATACATTGCTGAAAGTAGTGGTAAATTATCCTTTTTAATATTTGGGAATAGATAAATTTGTGCAAGTGTTTAGCTCAAACCTTTCATTTTAAAGATGGTGCTTGAGGGTACAATGAGTGAAATTCTACATATATATTTCAGAGTATTTTTATTTTGTTTTATTTTTATTGATTTCAGAGAGGAAGGGAGGAGGAGAAAGATACAGAAACATCAGCAATGAGAGAGAATCATTGATTGGCTGCCTCCTGCATGCCCCCTACTGACAATGAAACTTGCAACCCAGGCATGTGCATTGAACCGTGACCTTCTGGTTCATAGATCAGTGCTCAACCACTGATCCACACCAGGTGGGCCAGAGTATTTTCATTTTAAAGAGTTACCTTTAACCTTTACTGTGGGTAGGTTATTACAGTAGAGAAAAGATAAGCCATCTCTGGGCTTTCCAAGCTCATTGTGAACAACGAAATTTGATTCTCAGCAGCCTTTAAGTTGAATCTGAATGCAGAAGTGGGATCCAGATCATAAACGTAATTCTCCCATACATGGGACAATGGGTTGCTGGGAAATTGTATAGAAAGCTTCTTCTTTGCAGCCTCAACACTTTTAGAATAAGTGTAATGGAAACTCTCAGGGAACTTGCTTATTAAGCCTCCATGAAGGTCCATTTCCTCCTCGGCCAAAGGAGGCTGATGGTAGCCACCTTGTAGGATTTTTGTCATGATTAGAAATAATGTATACTAAGTGGTAGCTGATTTTATCATCATCATTATATTTATTTAAGGCATTAAACTCAGAACCAAGATGCACTTATTCCTACTTAACCCTTGTTCCATTGGTTCTCAAAACGACATTGAGGCATCTGAAAGGCGATGGTGGGAGGAGGGGGAGACTCCTCAGTCCACTGCAGCCTTGTGAGGTCGTATTTCTCCTAAGATCACTTATAGCAGAATTACCTGGTTGTTAAAAAACAGATTCATGGATCCTGCCACAGGTCTACTGAGTCAGTATATCTGGCGATGGAACCCTGTAATCTGTATTTTTAACAATCCACCCAAATGATTCTCATGCCCACTAAAGTTTGAGACCCACTACATCGGTGTTTTGGAGCCCTTATGGGGCTCACTGTGGGCAAGGCAGCTAAATTGATCTTAACTAGAATTAAAAAATTCTTATTATTCATCCCTGTTGTATAATACTAATATTTGTGTCCTTATATTTATACATTTATTCATAAATCATAGGTACCACTACACGATATCATATATATTATAAAACAAAGTAGAAAATTTAAGAAGAGGAGATGGAAATGTTATGTACACATTTTAATACTTCCTTTCCATGTGGGTCATATGATATACCCTTGGGATTTATACTCCCTACCTAACCTAGAGTCCGCTGGCTAAACCAAAAGTCTTCACTGTGGTTGTGATGATGAAATCACTCTCTAAGCAAATATTTACAGAGTTCTTTCCAAATGCCAGGTCTAGGCTCCAATTGCTCACTCTGAGTGACCATCTCCTGTCATATTGAAGCACTGATAACATCACTACCTCATCATGGGTAAACACGTTCTTATTTCCAGGTTTTACGGGTAGGAGGGTCCAGTTCATCTCCTCCAGGCAGTAGAGCAGTGCTACATCTAGTTCAAGACCATGTCAAGGTCACAAATATTAATATATAGAATATACATTATGAACAGAGCATTTAAGGTTGGAGGAAAGTCCAAGATAGTCTCGGTAAGTTAGTAAGAACCCAAATAATGAAGAAAACAGATAAATGGCCTTCACTGAATTACACGGAGCAGACTCTTTCGGGGTTGTGTGGCACTGTGGAAAGAACACTGGGTTTGGTTTTGGAGGACCTATATGTGTGTATGTGCTTTTTTCCTTCAGGCTGGGTGACTTTCAGTAAATTATTTACTCACTGAGCTTCTGATTGCTCCTTTGCAAAACAACGGTAATAACAGCGTTTATGCCTACCTAACACAATTGCTCTCACAACCAAACTCTCCTCATCTTAGCTAATTATCCTGTTCAATTCCAGGCTTCATCCATCAGCTGTCAGTCACTATGCACTTACTGAGGGCTTGATGGATATTCCAGAGCATCACCAGGTAAGTAGAATGTCACTTCTGATTTTACTAGAATAAGCAAGTTCTTATTCTCCTGAATTCAACCACTGCTCAGCTTCCATCTGTCACACTTGCACTCCCATAGGGATTGCAGAAGTGAATTCAAAGCCTGACGTTGCCACTTTGACATTTCATTTCGTTAAGCTTTCACTCCCTCATCTGTAAAATGAGGGTAATGATATTTGCCCCCTAAATCATTTTGAGGATTAAATGAGATAGTTTATGTAAAATACTTGGGTACAATTGACACATAGTGAAAAATCGAATAAATGATTATTACTTAATTTAAATGGCAAACATGGTGAGGTGCTCTTTCAACATTTTGGTAAATGCCAACGGCAACTTGATACACCTGCTCAGAATTGGATTTCACTTGGTGATTCTAAAAACAAACAAGTGATTTGACCGTTCATTTTTTATATGATTAACCCTATACTGGTTATTGAGAATGAAGTTAAGAGAGAAGTATCTTTTCACATTCAGTTAGAGAATGAATGATGACTAGCGTGACAAAATGGAACATTTTGCTGTTTCAGACTGGTATCAATTTAAGAACTGACCCCAAAATGAAGGCTTAATATTTACTAGACATAAAAATAAAAGGAAACTATATTGCTAATGCAATCAGATGTGATCATCGAAGTAATAAGTTGTGGGTCTGTATGCGCCACAACAAAGCTTTGATCCTGATTTTTATGTTGTGACATACATCTTATCCCAGTATTTAATAACAATATTTTGTTATTACACCAGCTATTGACATAGTTTAGATCACCCACTTAGTGACTCATGCTTGGCATTTCCTTCTTCCTTACCTATGCAAGGATGATTTAAATACACAGGCACATTTAGCTGATTGTAATTTACCTTCAGAACAGGCCTGGAGCTTAAAAAATGCCCATAGTTTTGTTTCTGGGTGAATTTGCATGCTAGTTTCCCTTCAGTGTCCTAAGTACAAGTCTGATCTTTAAAACAGGCTCTTCTCCTATTGCCTGAGTTTGAAGCTGATTTTCTATGTTTTAATTTCTCTCGGTATCTTATTCTGTCTTCCTGTCACTGGACTCATGGTGGCATGGGGTGTTAGAACAGGAAAGAACCTTAGAGACCTTCTAACTCTATGCCCTCATTTTCATTTATTTATTTTGTTTTCTTGTTACTCCTCAGCAGAGGATATTTTTCCATAGACTTTTAAAGAAAGTGGAAGGGAGGGGGAGAGACAAAGAGACAGAAACATCAATGTGAGAGAGACACTGATTGGTTGCCTCACACACGCACCTGACCAGAGCTGGGAGGGGATCAAGCCTGCAAACCAAGTGATCGGAATTGAGCCCGGGACCCTTCAGTCCATGGGCCAACACTCTATCCACTGAGCCAAACTGGCTAGGGCTCTAGTCCCTCATTTTTTAGATGTGAAAGATCATTTTTATCAGCGCCAAAGTAGATTCTACTAGTAGACTCTAGGGCACAACTCTCAGCATTTGCTCATGGTTTATATCTCCCCAACTCAGCTTCTTCCTATTCCTCTGACTCTTGATTTACTTTTATGGTTCAGATGGATAAAAGATTAATCTGAAACATTGTGTTCAGTCCTTTCCCTAGAACATGCCTTGATGTGTGAGGAAACTGGTCTTTCCAGGTTCTCACCTGTGAGGTGTGGCAAGTTGGCCATGGATGTGCTCTTGGAACTGGCTGTCCTCATCCTATTCTATCTTTGGCATTGTGACTCTTGGAAATTGAGTATAGAATCATCTCCAATTTTAGTTAATATTTACATTGAGAAATTACATTTATTTCTCACTTTTCACTGCAATGTGACATAGATGAAGTATTCCGTAGTGAATTAATAACATAGAAGTTCTGGAACCAAATTAGGATCTTTATATATTCTAAAAAAACCTTTAAAAACCTAAGATATTAATTAATAGATTAGATACTGAAGACCCAAAACTCGTTATTGAACTTTAGTTAAAGAGAGCCATTCTGAATGATAATTTGATATCCTGGGAGCTGTAAATATTGTGTAGTAATAGCATATTTTATATCATTGAAACAGAAGATGCTATTTAGCAAAAATAAAAATAAAAAATTTAGCAAAAAGGCAAAGTAAGTGTATGAATGTAGCATCAGAATAATAAGACACGCCCTAGCTAGTTTTGCTCAGTAGATAGCGTTGGCCTGCAGACTGAAGGGTCCTGGATTCAATTTCGGTCAAGGGCACATGCCCAGGTTGCAAGCTCGATCCCCAGTAGAGGGTGTACAGGAGGCAGCCCATCAATGATTCTCTCTCATCATTGATGTTTCTATCTCTCTTTCTCTCTCCCATGCTCTCTGAAATCAATAAAAATATATTTTAAAAAAGAAAAATAAGACAGGCTCTAATAAGAGAATTATATGTGTTTATAGAGGAAAAATGGTATAATGAAATTTGGACATACCAGAAAAGCACTGTCTAGATAGAAGTTGCACTTTCTGGGTACGTAATTGTGAACAAAGAAATAACCCCCAAGCCAAATATACTTTATTCTGTATTAAGGAATAGTGTAAAGTGTGAGGAATCTTCGGCTTCTAGAAATGCAAATTGCATCACTTCTTTAGTCTCTGTACTTAGGTGTCTGCTCCACCACTCTACTGAAACTGCTTTCAGGGAAATCACCAATGAGTTACAACTTTCCAAACTTCCTTTTTCAAGGAATATGACATTTGATACTATTGCCTGCTTCCTCCTGGGAACTCTTCTTTTTAGTTTCTTGATGTTGCCATTGAGTAGTTTTCTGCTGCTCTGCCCCTTCCTTCACCCATGCATTAAATATTGACATCCGGTATTCCACACTTGGTCCCTTTTCTTTTAATGCTGCCAGAAATCATGAATATAACCTATGAACCAAATCACACCTGCCCACTGCAGACATTGCTAATTGATTTGGGCAATTTTCTGTTATCCTCCATGCTATCCTAGAATTCTCAAAAATGCTTCAGGCAAGCACCAAGTGATTGGAGTTTGCACATGAGAAGACACGTTTTCCTCCAACTCTCTTTTGCATGTCCATCGTGGAAGAGCTCATCTGCAGTCATGACTTTAAATTCCAAAAATCCTGGGGCTCATTTATCAGTCTCCAGCACCTCACACAGTGTCTGGAGAACGTGATCTGGCTTAGGTAAATATTCGGAGAATAAATGCTAAAATGTTTGATTAGCTTACAATATCTAAGCATGTTCTAACATGTCTTGGGTGCTTGAATGCCATTAAAATTGAAATGTAGTTAGTGGTCACAGAGAATAGACAAAATAGTGACCATATTACAATGAGGTATGTACATTTTGAGAAATTATACTTCTGAACAAAAATTCTTTCTGTATTAGACTGTGTAATTATTTTCAAATGAGAAAAATGTTAAGATCTGCTTGATGATGATGATGATAATAATAATAATGATGATAATAAAACACCCAAGGGAGCTGTGGAACCTTTTTTTAGGGCTTTGAGGAGTCAGTAACAGGCTAGTCCAGTGGGATATTTTCCTCAAAGTTGTAAATTCCGACCCAATGGCTAATGAGATTAAAATGTACTTTCTATTTATTCCTAGCCAAGGTCAAAGCAGGAACTATAATTTTGCACTCCACTTTGTCATCTTTTGAAAGAGTTATAAATCTTCAATCACCAGGGTTATTTATAGCCTGATTTTTTCCCCCTGAAAACTAATAAAGTAAACAAATCTCTAAAATGCTTACCACAAAGACACTTCCAATAAAACATGTTTATAGAGGTAGAACACAGCATTGTAAACTTTGAGACCGATTTTTCTCCTTATTGTCTCATTTTTTAGATTGATCTGTAAAGGAGGATTATTATACAATAGTGAAGTATTGTTCACTGAGCTAATGTGGCCTAAACTTTATTTGTATGCCAGCTTTACCATTGTTTCCGTACATTCATGTGTCAGTGACGGAGATACATTCTAAGAAATGTGTTGTTAGGCAATTGTGCGCTTACACAAATCTAGATAGTATAGCCTACTGTGGGCGAAAGGGGCCACATGCTAACCTGACAAGCTCAGCGGAGGCCTGCATGGCAGTCTTGCAAACTCAGAGACCTAAAGTAACCACAAAGGATGGTCTGAAATTAAACTTTAAGTAAAAGCAGTTATGGTGGGTAGTCACCTCCGAAGCCGGCATCTTCACTGACAAGGTCAACCTTTACCTTAACTGAGCCTGTCTGTCTTTTTGCATCTGTAATAACATACCCTTTGAAATGTCTGGGTAACTTGTAACTTCCCTTTTTCTGGACCCCTTAGGGCACAACCTAATGTGCTGGGCGCCAGGACAGATACCACAAATTCCTTCATTATCATGTTAATCTTTCCTGCACCCACCGAAGTATGTGTCTATCATTTTACTTTTTATCCATTCCCAGGGATTTCCCCACTTTGCTTTCTCCCACCTCTCTGTCTATCACCAATGGATTTCATGTAACCTACCTTCCTCCCATTCCTTTGATTGCAATGTATAAATTCAGATGTAACCCACCATTCTCCAGAGCATTATCTCAATTCATTGAGGTTCTGCTTCCCAGCATAGGTTGACAGTTTGGCTCAAATAAACTCACAGAAATTCTTTACAGGTTTCAATGGTTTTTTATGTTAACACTACTATACACCTATGTTACATGGTATAGCCTACTGCTCAATTAAAAACCTGTACAGCATGTTCCTGTACTGAATACTATAGGCAATTGTAACATAGTAGTAAGTATCTGTGAATCTAGACATATCTAATCAGAGAAAAGATACAGTAAAATATGGAATAAGATAAAAAATTATACTCTTATATAGGGCACTTACCATGAATGGAGCTTCCAGGAGTGGAGCTTCCAGGAGTGGCCTGCTGGGGAGAGACTGCGGGTGGGAGTGAGTGGTAAGTGAATGTGAAGGCCTAGGACAATACTGTGCAGTACTGTGGACTTTATAAACACTGTACATTTAGGC